GGACACGGGCAACCACCACAGGCCCAAGGCCTGATTCGTTTGGACTGGGGCTCAGCCTCTCTGGACCTACCGGAAGCTTCTGGGCAGGGGCCCAGCCCAGCCAGGCTGCACGCAAGCAAGCAGGCCACTTCCATTTAGGAAAGGGCCTGCCCACGCATTCGGCATTCGGGCACTGGCTGCATGCTGCGCAAGCGCTGCTGCGCTATACGCTGGCCAGCGCTCACGCGCTCACGGGCGAGCTGGAAGGGAGCAGGAAGCCACAGCCGAGCTGCGCTGCTGTATGCTGGATGGGGCGCATGGTGGTCCTTGGGTGCACGTGGCATCTGTGAGTGGGGGATCGAGGTTGTGAATGATACGAGAGACATACCTGGTGCTTGAGGCGAACGGCATTGGCCGAGATCTGCTCGTACTTCGGGGAGCTGTTGACGTCACCAGCGGCATTGTAGATAGGCTAAATAGGATCTGCCATTTGTAGTCTGGGCGCAGAGCGCCAGATAGGATGTCAACATTGGTTCTTTGTTGATGATGATGAGACTATTTGAACATTGTCACTTATGAGCTTTTGCTGTGCTCTTATTTGGTGGGACTCGTGTTGCAATTCTGCTTTTGGTTGGAGGTCATGACTATCTGGCTCATGTGGATGATGCTGCTTGGTTTCTGAAGTTCGCTATCGCTCATTTTCCTTGCAGAAAGATAAATTCTCGTAAATTGCCGGAATAAGGAAAAGAAAATCGCAAAAATAAAATAAAATCGCAAAATAACTCGCGGAATATCCCTATTTTCAAGAAAATAAATTGTGAAATAACTTGCGGAATATTCCTATTTTCAAGAAATAAATCGCGAAATAAATCGCGGAATATTCCTAATAAAATCGGGAAATAAATTGCAGAATATCCCTATTTTCAAGAAAATAAATCGCAAAATAAATCATGGAATATTCCTAATAAAATCACGAAATAAATCGCAGAATATTCCTATTTTCAAGAACATAAAATCGCGGAATATTCCTATCAAATCATGAAATAAATCGGATTGATATTCCGATTATCAAGAAACTATATCGCAGAAAAAAATAAATAAATTCCGCGGAATATTCAGAAGAAATCGCGGAAATAACTCCGCGGATATTCGAAGTTCCAAGAACAAAATCACTCGCTATTCTCGGAAATTTCCGATTTCGTGATTACAAATTTTGCGCAAAACAAGGGGTTTCGAATTCTGAACAAACTCGAAATGACACTAGGCAGAGTTGAATCAGGAACAAATCAATCAATCAATCAATCAATCAATTAATCAATCAATCAATCAACCAGCCCTAATTAACCAATCAATCAATCAATCAATCAATCAATCAATCGATCCGCCGATCGGGTTGATTGATCGATCTATAATCTGGGAGTCCAGATTCACAAGCGCCGCTCCGATACCAACTGAAGCATGCCCACTCGGGCGATGTAGGGGGGAGCCAAGGATCCGCAAAGTGATGAAATGGACTCGTATGGGCAATGCAGCGTCAGCCAAGCACCAACAAGCAATGCACATCCAGATACATACGAAATAGCACAATGTAGCGCAGCGGAAGACTCAAGATATGATCTGACCTGTCAGATACTGACGCAACACCCCATCGTACACCACACATGTGTGAGAGAGAGGAGGGACTGCAGACAGGTCCCTCCTTGCACATGCACATAGGGGGGGTGGGGCGATACCACGGACGACAGATGGGGGGGAGGCAAGACGAAGATGGAGGCGAGGGAGAAGACCAAGATCGCTATAGCGAAGTCCAAAAAATAATCCCTGGCCAAGTGTCCAATCGATGTCTGCCGCAAACAAAATGTTGAATCAGATCCTTGAAACGGTTTTCACCTTGCAGTAGCGGATGCAGATCCCAGGGCTCAATCCCTAGACCTCACTCACCTGTGTACAGTAGACATCACAAAGGGTCCTACAAAGAACACAGATTTGATTGATCATTCACACGGCGTCCATCCAGGTCGCAGTTGCCAAGCCTCTGCCGGCTTACTTACAGTCGCTGACTAAGGACCTCCGTGAGAGCTGTATGCGAGGAAACTTGCACACACGGTTCGGGAAAGGCTCTCTGATGCCTGTCTATGTATGAAGGTGTCAGTTATGCTATTTCACTCAAAGATTTAGTAGGTTGGGTAGCCTTTGCAATATTTTTGTCCATTTTTGTTTTTTATGCACCTAACGTATTGGGACATCCTGACAATTATATACCTGCAAATCCTATGTCAGCTCCAGCTCACATAGTGCCATGTGTGTTTGAACCCGTGACCTGCGTCTTAGGAGTCTGCTGTTGCCCGTCGTAGGCCAGTGTAGTTATCGGGTCTTGAACTGTAGTCCTGTCGAGTAGGGGTCAAGTTTGTTCTAGAAGTCGTAGCTGTAGGATTTCTGAAAGGTCAAGGTCGTAGCTGCTACAGTCCTGAGAGGTCAAGGTCGTAACTGCTACAGTCTCGAAGGGCCAAGTCCACAGACTTCCGGAAGGTCCGGAAGTGGCGCTTCAGACGTTGCTCACAGCAGACCAGAGGCAAGTGGGCAAGTGGTGAGGTCCACCCATGCTGAGTCAGCGGTACCGGTCCCAGTCAGTCACAGTCCAGTCAAGCAAGTACTGTATGGGACTGTGTGCACCAAGGGCATAGGAAAGGGGCAGACCAACGAGTTACAGAAGTATAAATCAAGATGCAGCGCCCAGTCATTCATTCATTCCTGTGTGAGCCATGCGGAAGCGCTGCTTGAGTGGCTTGTGCGAGGTGGTCTGCAGAGTCCCCGAAGACGAAGTGGGCAGAGTAGAGGTTGTGTAGCCATAGCCAGCAGGACTGAGCGGCCATAGCCGCCGTAGGTGATAGGCGAGTGTGGTGTGTGCGTGTGTGTGAGACAGTGTGTCGCATGTGGGATATCCAGGGTGATCCTGAGTTAAGTGTGTGCGAGCAGCGGAGTTGAGCACACTGACGAACAGATAGTTGTACAGGCGCTGATGCGCCATAGCCATCAGAAGCGAGCTTGTATCTGAACTGTGTTCTTGGTTACCATATCTCTGAGCTTTGAGTGGGCGCGTGTCGCCAGTTTGGTGCGCTACCTGTTTACATGCATGCGAAGTGAAATAAAAAGTGAGTCTGATTGCATCCTGGGCATACGCCCGTGAAACCTCTGCCTGACGTCTCTCTCTCTCTCTCTCTCTCTCTCTCTCTCTCTCTCTCTCTCTCTCTCTCTGAAAGCAGCAGCAGCAGCAGCAGCAGCAGCAGCAGCAGAAGAAGAAGAAGAAGAAGAAAGAAGAAGAAGAAGAAGAAGAAGAAGAAGAAGAAGAAGAAGAAGAAGAAGAAGAGGAAGGAGGAGGAGGAGGAAGGAAGAAGGAAGAAGAGGTGGAGGGTGGGACAGATAGAAGAAGAAGATGATGTCGTCCTCCTCACTGACTCACCTGCAGGTAACTGCTGCCAAGTACTGACATCCCTGGCGTACGCTGTGCTGCAGGTCGCTGGAGCCAAGTCCAGCTATGGCGCCCAGGTACATACTCGAACGCTGCAGGTATGGCCTCCTCTCTGTCTCCCTACCTACTCCTACCTCTATCGCAGCGCAGCGCTGTCGCGTGCGGTGCTGATCCAGCAGCATGTCGCCCAAGAAGTGAGCTACCCGAACTGTCCGTTGCCCAGCCTCTGCCCAGCTATATGTAGCGCTGGGTGAGGCTGGACCTACCTGGTGCTGGCCTCAAAACGGCCCAGGCGGTCTGGGTCCCTACCGGACGTCCAGACTGTGCTGCTGATGCAGCAGGGCGCCAAAAACGCGCGCTTGGCCTTTTGTAGGCCCTGCCTCCGGTACCCAGTCCCAAGGTCGTGCCTTGGGGACTGCAAGTCCGAAACGACGCCTGCAAAGACCACGACGTACATTCTTACCACCAACGATAATGAGAAAAGCTACGATTTGATTCAGCTAATTTATGAAGATCATCTCTTTTTTTTCTAGCAAATCCTTGTTTTTTCGAAGCATCCTGTATTTCAGCAGATAAAGATTGATCTAAACTTCATAAACCCAAGATTTATGTTTTACGCGAGCAACGCGGGCTTTTAGAGTCTAGACAAAGAAGAAAGAAAAATCAGAATGCGTGAATTCGTTCTATTTGGCATTTTACTATTCAGGCCTGTTTATTTAAATAAACTGTGCCCCCATTTCTATTCTATTTCAATTAACGCACACCATACATAATAAGAAAGATGGTGTTCGCCGGCGGGTAAGCACGTAGATGGCGAGCCTAGGCCGAACAGAGAAATTCAATTAGAGGGCAATCCGCAGGAAACCAACATATGTCTGTGTAGGAGCCTCTTTTCGAAGTTTTACGTGTAGAAGCAAATTCTCCAAATTTATAACCAACCATATCTTCAGTAATCTATATTGATATTTGCTCTTTCTTATGGTATGGATTTAATTCAAATGTTTCTATAACCTAAGACTCCAGTAAATTAGGTCACCATCGAATGTACTCTTGGTGGAACGGACCACTTCGTGTTTGCAACTCTTTTTGATCCAACTCAATTGAATGAGATTGAACTGGCGCCGCTGCCACTTCGTGGCTTTGGACATGTAAATAAATAAATAATTAACTAACTAAATAAATAAATGCTGCCTCTATTTGCCATAGGTGGCCTGGGGGCCGCCGTGGGCCTCCAGGGCGCATGTCTGATGGGCATGCGGCCTGGGGGCCCCTTCAGCAACCGTTGGGCCCGTCGAATGGGGCCTGTGTGCAGGTGCAGCATGTAACAAGCGGCCATCTCTTGGCGACCATTCAGCTGAACAGCCAGTCACACCTTGGCTGTCACTCATCTGCACTGTAACCACCAGCACAATCATCATCGCCATCACCATCAGGGTCATGATCATCACCGCCATCACCATCAGCACAATCATCATCGCCATCACCATCAGGGTCATGTAACAGCCAGTCACACCTTCGCTGTCACTCATCTGCAGCTGAACAGCCAGTCGAATGGGGCCTTTGTGCTTGATTTATGCGCGTCATCCTTGTGCAGGGGCCCGTTGTTAGTTGTTGTCATGCCCACACCTGCCACTTCCAGTATCATCTACACAAGGATCTCATTTCTGCAGCGGACAACATCAACCGCATATCAGTGTTATCTGGTATATACACATTTACATCCTTCTGTGCAAGAGTACATATACAAATTGTACGAAGAAGGTTCATGAAGATGGCCTGGCCCACCTTCAGTGTGCCTTAGCCTCAGAGGGAGTTGTCGATACTGCCACCATAACAGGCAAGAGATTCAGATCTAGCACACCGAAGACAATGCCAACAGTCAGCCAATACCGCATCTCATTCCCCTCCTTTCCTAAGTGTGACAGACCTAACCAGCCCCAGCAGCATCAACGTGAAAAGCATGGCCCGCTGACCAGCATTTAACCCCTGGGAGGTACGTGTGCCACCAAATACAAAGTGCAGATGGAGATTTGCAGCATGCCCTCGCCTGCCTGCCCATCTCACACCACACCTTCCACCATCTGACATGTCGGACGTGTCATAAGCTACTCATAGAAGTGAAGCAGTGCCCCATCTCAAAGTGCCCAATCTCAACATGCCTTCCGCCTGACTGGCCACATTTCGCACCACACTACCCACACCTTTCACCAGACTGATAGGTCCGCTACTCCCCTTCACGGTCACAACCACTTCGCTCAGCTTCCTACTGGTCAGCATCATAGGTTGAACGAAGCACTGGCAGGAGCAACAAAGTGCATGAACCGAGCCAAGACCAGCAGAACCATGTGGACCCTGCTGATGGACTTCAAAGAGTTTCAGCGAGCTGGCTTTCTTTTATATGGACCACTGCTTGATTTATGTGCGTCATCCTTGTGCAGGGGCCATGCTAATCTTCTCTGTATTCTACCAATTCTAACGGGTTCCTTTCATACACTTCCTGGCACTGAGGTCTGCTGCACACCCAATCTCATAGGCAGCCATGTAGTGCCCCCACAACCATCACCTCTTCGGTTTCACAATCATAGACGACTTACAGACAAAGGTGTGCAAATGCAAAAAACACTTGTGGCCAAATTACACGTTCCCTTAACGAGTTCGCTCACCACCGGCTGGCAAAAACACGAGAAACAATTCAACAACAACAATAATTCCATGATTCCAGACAGAAAACCTCAATAAGGAGCTTGAGCATGACTTGGCTCGCCCAAGTACTGCGCTTCTCAACATTCCCTGGCAATGATGGCTGGCAACACAAACGTACTTGAAGTTCCCCTCTCAAATGCATGGGAGCACCATCTTGTCAGCTCCCACAGTTACAACTGGCCTTGGGGGGGCTTTGGCATGGGGCAAAGAAAGGCACTGGCCTGACCAGATGCAGACGCCCAAAGAGTGTGAAGCCGGTTGCTGAGAGATACAGAGGCAGCAGGTAAAGAGTTCCGGAACTTTTTGCTACACATGCAGTGAGATGTTGGATAAGCAGCGCTATCCAGCAACTACACTTGCCACCTCTATCACCATCATTTTCTGCTCCCACCTTGACACCTAAAGACCCTTCTGTCCACTGTCACATGCATGCCTGTCACCACAAGAACCACACAATTCATGGATAAAGATAGATCGAGAACAGGGAGCACAGAAAGAGAATGAGATCCAGGCTGCGAGACAAGGGGGCAGGGAGGAAGCGTGCGGGCGTGTGTGTGTGTGTGTGTGTGTGTGTGTGTGTGTGTGTGTGTGTGTGTGTGTGAG